TATTGCAAGATGCCGCCTATGATTGGTGGAAGCGAGTAGGCGCCAACATTCCCGTGCCGGTACCATGGGATACCTTCGAGCCACTTTTCAGAGCAGAATATGTGCCCGATCACTACGTCGAGGCCAAATATGAGGAATTCTCAAATTTCACTCAGGGGAAGCTGACTCTCCCCGAGTACCGTCAGCAATTTGACGGATTGGCCGAGTTTGGTAAAGACTTGGTCAACACCATGGAGAAGCGCTGCAAGAAGTTCATCAAGGGTATGAGGCCAGACCTGTCGTCAACACTCATAATTGCTCCCCGAGCCGACATCAACGATGTCTATAAGAAAGCTCTTGAGTTGAACGAGGAACTCATCAGGAAAGCTGCGTATGAACAGGCACTATTGGCAGAAAGTCAGGCCGTCCATTCTGGCCCGAAGATGGGGCATGGTAGCAAGAGGACCTTCTCCGCACCGAGCAACTCTCGCCATGATAAGCGAGCGAAATCTACTCCCTCTACATCTGTGGCCGTCACTAGTAAGAACGGGCAAGAGAAGATGACATACCGTAATCCAGTATGTCCACACTGTAACCGCAGACATGCTGGTGAGTGTTGGCTTACACAGGGTCTTTGCCTCGAGTGTGGTCAGGCAGGTCACTTTCGGGAGGACTGCCCGACGAACCCAGGCAAGGTTTTCTCCACAGCACCAAGCACGCCAGGTGTTTCTACTGTTCAGCGGGCCATGCCTACCCAGAGTCATCGTTCTACGGCCGCGTCCAACCAACCAAAGAAGCCAGCAACTAGTCAACAGCAGGGACGAGCACCAGCTCGTACGTATGCCATGCAAGGGCGTACAGATCCACATGCTAATGATGTCATCATGGGTATGTTCACTTTATTTGATATCACTGTATCTGCATTGATTGACCCTGGATCTACCTTATCATACATATGTGTACCTATGCCTGTTACATCTGACGTTGCTAAGGAAACTCTTGAGCATCCGGTAGTTGTGTCGAACCCACTGGGACACAGCCTACGTCTCCAACATGTCTATAATCAATGTCCGTTGTTGGCTCAAGGAAAGGTATTCTTAGCTGATCTCATTGAACTCCCTCACAAGGAGTTTGACGTTATACTTGGCATGGACTGGTTGACAAAACACCAGGCTATTGTCGAGTGCAAGGAACGAGTGGTGAAACTTCATACAGACGACGGTAACGAAGTGATCATTCGGGGAGAACTTCTACCGAAAACTCCAGAATTCATCTCTTTTATACAAGCAAAACGGCTCATTCGCAGGAAATGCGAAGCATTCTTGTGCACTGTTAAGGATATACGAAAGGAAACACCTAACCATAAGGACATATCTGTGGTTTGTGATTTTCCTGATGTATTCCCTGAGGAACTTCCAGGTCTACCTCCTTCAAGGGAAGTAGAATTTTCTATTGATCTTGTACCCGGTACAGGACCCATCTCAGCATCACCTTATCGAATGGCCCCTGCAGAAATGAAGGAATTGAAAGCCCAATTGCAGGAGTTATTATATAAAGGCTTCATTCGTCCTAGTATTTCTCCGTGGGGAGCACCTGTCCTTTTCGTCCGCAAGAAAGATGGATCAATGAGATTATGCATTGATTACCGTCAGCTGAACAAAGTGACGATCAAGAACCGTTATCCTTTACCCCGTATTGACGATCTGTTTGATCAATTACGAGGTGCGACTGTTTTCTCAAAGATCGATCTTAGATCAGGTTACCATCAGATTCCTGTAAAACTAGAAGACATTCCAAAAACAGCGTTTCGTACACGTTACGGGCATTATGAGTTTACCGTTATGCCCTTTGGCTTAACGAACGCACCAGCTTTGTTCATGGATCTCATGAATAGCGTTTTCAGACAGTATTTGGATCAATTTGTTGTGGTCTTCATCGATGATATTTTGGTCTACTCAAAAACACCAGAGGATCATGCTGAACATTTGCGCATCGTGCTGAGCATTTTGAGAGAGCATAAACTCTATGCCAAACTTTCTAGATGTGAATTTTGGCTGAATGAGGTCACTTTTCTCGGTCACGTGATTTCTGCAGAAGGAGTCAAAGTTGACCCATGCAAAATTTCAGCGATCACTGAATGGAAAACTCCACGCAATACACGTGAGGTACGGAGTTTCCTTGGACTCGCTGGTTATTACCGTCGCTTCGTGAAGGATTTCTCTCGAATCGCTACACCACTTCATAAACTGATGAAGAAGGATGTCAAGTTCGCTTGGACAGATGCTTGTCAGAAAAGCTTTGAACAATTGAAAGAATGTTTGACTCAGGCACCTGTGTTAGTTCAACCGACACCTGGTACTGAATATACAGTTTTCAGCGACGCATCACATCAGGGACTTGGGTGTGTACTGATGCAAGAAGGTAAGGTCATAGCTTATGCATCACGGCAACTGAAACCTCATGAGTGCAATTATCCAACTCATGACTTGGAGCTAGCAGCTGTTGTTCTTGCATTGAAGATCTGGAGGCATTACTTATATGGCGAGACGACTCGCATATTCACCGACCATAAGAGTCTACAGTATTTGATGAGCCAGAAGGAGTTAAACCTTCGAAAGAGAAGGTGGCTAGAGTTGATTAAGGACTATCACTGTCACATCGCTTATCATCCTGGTAAGGCGAATGTGGTGGCCGATGCTCTTAGTCGTAAGACTCTTGCTAAACTCCGCATACGACCTACGTTGGATCAGGATATCATTTCAGCACAACATCAAGATACCTTTTGTCTCGAGACACGTGAGCTTGTTTCCAAAGGAGAGAAACAAGACTTCTCTGTTCGAGATAATGGTACATTATACTATCGAGATCGGTTGGTAGTACCATCAGGTGATGTGAGAGATCGCTTATTGCGTGGAGCTCACGGAACCGTGTATACCATGCATCCCGGAAGTAACAAAATGTTTCAGTATCTGAAGAGACACTACTGGTGGTCAGCTATGAAAAGAGAGATTACGGAATTCACATCGAGGTGTATGACTTGTCAGCAAGTCAAAGCAGAACATCAGGTACCTACAGGACTTCTGCAGCAGATCACTATTCCTGAGTGGAAATGGGACCGTATTACGATGGATTTTGTAATCGGATTACCATTGTCCCTGAAGAAAAATGATGCGGTATGGGTTATTGTTGATCATTTGACAAAATCGGCGCATTTCTTACCAATTCGGCGAGATTTTACACTTCAGCTTTTGGCCGAACTGTATATCCGCGAGATTATCAGGCTACATGGAGTGCCATCGTCCATCATTTCCGACCGTGATCCCCGATTTACTTCCCAATTTTGGAAGAGCTTGCAGAAAGCTCTCGGTTCCAAATTACATTTCAGCACGGCTTTCCATCCTCAGACTGACGGACAGTCTGAGAGGACTATTCAGATTCTCGAAGATATGATGCGAGCATGCGTCATTGATTTTGGAAACAATTGGGAAAAATATCTTCCTCTGATGGAATTTGTCTATAACAATAGTTATCAAACAAGTATTGAAATGGCTCCGTATGAGGCACTGTACGGAAGGAAGTGTCGAACACCAGTTTGTTGGACTGAGTTGAGTGAGAGGAAACTCGAGGGTCCAGAACTCGTGCGCGAAACAGAGGAGAAAGTTCAGTTGATCAGAGAACGACTTCAAATAGCAGCGGACAGGCAGAAATCTTATGCAGACCTCAAGCGACGCGATATCGAATATGTTGTTGGTGAGAGTGTATTCTTGAAAGTTTCTCCCTGGAAGAAGGTTTTACGTTTTGGCAAAAAGGGGAAACTCATTCCGAGGTTTATAGGTCCATACAAGGTTACAGAGCGTGTGGGACCTGTAGCCTACCGGTTGGAATTACCACCAGAACTAAACAAGATTCATGATGTGTTTCATGTGTCGATGTTGAGGAGATACAGATCAGATCCATCTCACATTATTCCAACAGAGACAGTCACTCTTGATGAGAATCTTTCCTATGAAGAGGAACCTGTAGAGATTCTAGCACGAGAAGTTCGAGTATTGAGGAACAAGACTGTACCCTTAGTTAAGGTGCTTTGGAGGAGTCACTCTATCGAAGAAGCAACCTGGGAAACTGAGGAGTCTATGCGATCTCAATATCCACAACTTTTCAGCGACCAGTGATCAGGTAATTTCGAGGACGAAATTTTTTTAAGGGGGAGAGAATTGTAACGCCCCGAAATTAGGCCTAAAAGAATTAATTACTTTAAAAATTAGTTAATGACTGAGGCAGACCCGAACACTGAAAAATAAAATTTCCAGAAAAATATTTTAATTATATCAAAATTCTAGTTTTGACCATCTGATTCCAAAAACGCGACCCATTTTCAAAACGGAACAGTTTGGGCGAAAAAGCGCGTACCGTTTTAGCCAGTTTATCAGTTACGGAGTAGGAGAATATATTTGATTCCCCAAACCCTCCAAATCACGTAGAGACACT